GTCTCAAACACTCTTCCCGTCACTTCTGAATGGATCTCAATATCAAAGCGTCTAATGTTCGGACACTTCCGCACCACTGACTCCAAGATCTGCCAATCGATGTCTTCAATAGTCTTACCCGACATTATCTGCCATTTCTTCACGTGTTTCTCGACATTCACATAGTTTTGTCGTTTGAATACCGATCGCTGCCATTGTTTGGACACACATTCAAATCGGAAACACTCTTCGAGGGACAGGTAAGACAATATGACTCCACACAAGTCATCGCCGTATCTGTCGAGTGAGTCCTTCGGGTATTCCTCTTGAGTCCTATTGGTATCAGTCATCGACGTCTTTGCCTAGAGATCCAAATAATAGTAATAATGACTGAATGAGTGGACAGTTATGCATGAGATGTGAGACAATGTATTGAGCGGTCAGACAGACAGTGAGCAAAACAAACCCTTTTTGGCGGCTTTTGACCACAACTTCTTCGGTCCATGTCTTGAGTGACTGTCAATACAATCACGTGTAGTGACCACTCGTTATCATCTAATGGACACACCGTTCACTCCTATAGTGACCGCTCTATAGTGAGTGACAGTGTATTCATTGCACTGAAAGTCAATTCAATTGAAAATATGACCGAAAATACAGCAAAACGTGTTTCACTGAAAAGCACACAAACATGTGATTACGATAAGTGCGCAACAATTATGTGAGTATATGTGTGGGTATTATGGGAGGAGTTTGCCATTGAATTACACGTATTTGTGGCCAAAATGGGGGCAAATAATAGTCACACAAAGAGCCATACATTTGACACTTCTTTGCACTAAATCTCAGATAACAGTAAAAAAGTCTTCAATTATTACTATTTGTTCCGCAGGTCTTCAATGGACACAAACAGTGAATTGTGCCCCAAATGTGGTCAAGAAGTGGACCACTTGTCTGTCGGACAACACTTCACGCGATGTTACCCACAGTTGGACAACGAAGAAGTCATCGGCGGACAGACAGCGCACCCATTGGTCGCACAAAGAGATGAAGAAGTAGTCGAAGAAGTGAAGTGCGAGTCCTCGACAGCCATCTGTTGCATCTGTTTGGATGGTTTGGATGTGTTTGCGGGCGAAGAGCGAGTCCTGTCATGCGTTCATCGCTTTCACAGGAAATGTATCGATGAATGGCTGCTGACATCTAAGTCGTGTCCGATGTGTCGCAAAACAGCGGTTCCCGAGCGGCGCCTCTTAAATGGTGTCCGACAGCCGAACACCAGTTGGAGACCACAGGAGCCACACATCCCTCACATACTGGCCATCGATGGTCACCAACAATGGGCTAATGATTGGCAGGTGTGGCGACCCCTGTCCTTGTGTGGGTCCCAAGGGATGACTCAATCTGTGGGCCAATCGGTTAGCCGACAACCCATGAGTCTATACTCAGGCCACGAGCGCCGACACCACGTGAGCCACCGGTCCTCTTATGTCTCTACTGATAGTCACCTGTGGATGAGTTCAGTCCTAAACCAATAACCCATTCATTATTTGAACACAATTTGTGTCAATGTTTTCAATACTTTTGATTCATTTTTGATATCTAATTAATTGACTGTTTATTACAATTAAAACATTAAATTCTTAATTTGTGGTCATATTTAACATTAACTTTGTGTAAACCTATTGTTTTGTGAATTGTATTTAAATATGAATTCAATTGAAATAATCTATAATTAATAACAAAACTTTGAAATTATTAATAATTTTTACCGAAAATATTGCATTTAATATTCAATTTTCAAAAATTGATTTCATAAACAACTTTCGGTCCCTTTTCCCACTTATAACACAAACACTAATATAGTATTAAAAGGACCCAATAGTGTGACCATTGAGTGCACACAACCTGTCATTTGTTTGTCGATTGAATTGAGTTTTCAATTGATTTGTGTTTTCAGCGAATATTTGACCGAAAATTATGTCGATTTCGGGAACAGATGTCGAGGTCTGGGATTTCAGTGAATCCACTGCCGCTGTGGTCACGAAGGCATCGACTGACCATCACATGAGTGGTAAGGCTTTGAGTGAAGACACGGTGGGAAGCGATGCGAAGACAACGCCATCGAAGGTGTTGTATGTCTTCGACAGAAACCGATCGACAGATCCGCGTCTGAGGA